TAGCATTTGACACGTATGAATGCCAATCTCATGGCCCAGTCAAATGACTACCTCCATGTCAATAGCATACAAAACATAGATACAAGTCTACAACAAAGTGCCAAACCAATTTGCATTAGATACATGAAAGTTATGATGTTAGTAGGATACTTCTTACATAAAATCATACAATGTTTGAAATGTCATTCGGATAGGTACATACTTCAACGTAAATCTGATACATGGGGCAGCACCCCTACCTTGCAGCCAGGTTCGGTCTGATGGTGGTACACTATGAGGTATCACCGGATCAAACTGAGGCTTACCAGTTACCACTCGGTTACCGCTTGGTTTTCAATTGGATATGGTATATCAGGCAGCAACCTGACTGCCCAATTACCAGATTGTCTCTGTATCCCCATCAACCCCTCTTTCCTCTCCCCTTTTACACGTCTTCACTCCTTCAATCTCATTCGAACTTCACTCGAATCCTCTCCCAAGTGATTTTGCAAAGAGAAGTTCAATCTCAAGAAATTAAAGGCTCAATCTTGAGTTCCAAACCAGGTTTTCTCCAAAATTTGGTAAATCCAAACCTTAATTTCAATTTTTGATCACTTTATATTTTGTTGCAAGGACTTTAGGATTGGATTTCATCCTGCGAAATGCTAATTAATCAAACTAGGTCAGATTTGAGGTGTTTTCCTTAATGGAGTTGGGGCTAGATCCACAAGGATTAACGCTCGAACCTAGCAGATCTAGCCTAGATCAGCCGAAAAAAAGTCACGCAGATCTAGGCTAAATCATTGAAAATCTGAACTACATCCATGCAAATCTATTTTGGATCAACGAGGATGTAGATCCACAATAAGAGAGAAGACGTGTGGGTAGGTCTGCCATCAACAACTCTTTCGGCCATCTTCAACAGGCTAGACATATTAGAAGAGAAAACTTCTGAACTAACCCAGGGAAAATTGTCGATCCAAATACTGGTTCTTGGCCAGACAGGTAAATACCAATTTATACATATATCGGTCCAGTCGGTTTTCTGAAAATGTAATAACTGATTAATCATTTAAACTTTAATATAAATTGTATACTATATATGATCTTAGATTAAGAAAATGCACAAAGCCCCCGCCAATGCGGGATCCGGAGAGGGTCAATGTATGTAGCTTTAAATATATGATCTTAGATATCTTAGGGTCAACAAGATATGTATCACCCTAGAAATTTCATCACATGTCATTTATAGCAGCATATGTATTTTAGGGATTTAAACAATTGTAATTATTCAGGAAGCATGACCAATTTACAATGTCAATTAATGTTACCTAAAAATTTCCAAAATTTTCAATCTCAACTGGTAAATAAAGTTACCAGAAGACAAAATTCAATGACATTTTCAAATACAAACACAAAGCACAACACTCAAAAGTATTATCACATTCCACTTCTCATGGGAACATAAAACAGAAATAGCAGAGGGAGAAGGCAGAGACTGAGTGTGTATATGTGCATGCTTGCATGCATGTGCGGGTTCATGGAGAGAGGGAGAGGGGGAGAGAGAGAGAGAGAGAGTAGAGAAACCTGCAAATTTGGTCTCCTAGCTGATAAGCGTCCAGTTTCAGTGTTGATGTTTAGAGAACAATGAACTCGTCCATTAACACATGAAATATCATTCCCCTACCAGCACAAGAAAGTAACACACAAGGGGCAATCAAAATCAAAACCAACACCAAAATCACTTCAAAATAATACATCCACTGGATAGGAAAAACAATTTTGTTTCTCCAGTAAAATAAAAACAGATAATGAACATAGTAAAGAGACAGTATATGTTAAAATATTTGTAAGTAAATAAATATGCCTTAGATGCATGGAATGAAAAAGTGAATTATTATGCTCATTGATTCCAATTAACACCTAACTTCTCTTCAATTTGTATGTAGTTTTTTTTTTCCACAAGGATAATATATATGTTACACAGAATCAACTTACCTGCAAGGGAAGAATGAAGTTTGATATCAACGAATCAATTGAGCAGACGTCACAAAGAGCTGCAATAGCTTGACAAGCCGCCCTTCCCTCCTTACCTTCTCCAAATGCCTTGTATGCAGTTCCATAATTAGAAGTGTCTTTGTCATGTGTAAGTACACGAGACATTTCTGTCTCCTTTGTGGAATCATGGTCATCGTTAACCTCTTCATCACTATCAGACTGATATGATGCATCATCAATAAGAAAATTTTGGTTATTCGAGACTTTCCCAGCAAAAACTTTTAGAGCATCACCACAGACAGAAGGCAACCCACTATCTGTATACATATCTGTTTGCAATTCTTCACAAATTTTATTTAGCACAATAGTGCGGTATTTGGAAGGAGACTTCCTTCCATCCTCAATGACATTCTCAGTATTAGGCACCTTAAAAGACTTTGGCTTAGACAAGCATTTGTTTTGATCATTTTCACATTTGTTTGTATCATTTCTGCAAATCAAAAGCAATAAAAAGAAATTGTTACAAATTGTTGACTCATATCAATAATAAGTATGAAATATATACAGGAGCAGTTTAAGAAGCTTTGATGAGACAGAAAACACTCACATAGGCCATTAAAGGAAACTGGATCTGCATTCGTGCTTGCACATGTTGCCTTTGAAGAGTAGCAACAAAAATAAAAACTAACTTCCAAAGAGCAAACTACAATTAACTGGACCCACACACATGCATAAGCACATGCATGAACATGCACCATGTGCACACAAGCACATACAAAGGCAAACCTTGATCCAGGCCCATGAGCACAAGCATACTCACAAAAGATATTTCAAAATGGCATTTACAGATCCAACCAAGGATTGGAACTGAACCATAATGGTCAGTATCAAGGTATTTTTTATTTCTTTTTTTATAATAACAGGCACAACCAGCAAGTATACTATCTGGTATACTGGTACAGTACTAGTTCAACTGGTTACCGATAACAAACTGATATTTAAATTATTAGTTCAAGACATTATTTACATCGTAATTTTACTTAATGGAACAGTACAATTTACAAGTCTACTTTTCCAAACAACAATGTCAAGAATCATTACTGACTTTTAAAAGTATAACCCTTTTATATCCTCATTTCCAGCACATTTATGACAAAGTAATGGAAAGCAAACAACTAAAAGTTTAACCTGCATTCGAAGAACCTAAACAAGCATGTAAAGACACTAGTACTTAAAGAAACTATAACACAGGTGTGACATAAAACAAAGAAATAAAGCAGGCAAATTTGATTAACAAATCATGTTAAATGCTGCTCAGAATATAACTTCTAGACTGATTATCATAGGAATGAACAATAACTGCAAGATATGCAAGTACCTCCTCAATGTATCACCAAAAAAGAGCTGACGTATTTGAGCATCACTTCCCACATTCATATACTTAGCATCAGGACAGTACTTAGATGCCCATTTCCTGAATTTATCTGAAGCTATTTGCTTTTCAGTAATAGCAAGCTTTTCTATCTCCAATAGATGACTTCGGTCAACAAGCATTCCCTCAGATTCCATTTGCACTAACAGAACACCAAAAGGGCGCCAATACTCTTCATAAAAATCATACATTGTACCTCTTACAAAATCATCAAGAGTCCATGCTTCAAGCTCAAGCTTAGCTTTCAAGTTATCAAAAAGTTTAAAAGTACTTATCGAGTCTAAAGCAGAGTAGCTAATCCACGATATTCGTTCTTCTCTTTGAAGCACATCAACAGGAGCAAGCGTGATAAGTTTTCCCTCAGATCCATCTTTCTTTAACTTTCTTTTACCAAAAATGGATTTCATTGCTATCTTTCCCATTTTCAGTTCATCATTGGACGACATGATCTTTGGATCATTTGTAAGTGCTTCAAGTGAATATCCTCCATTAGCTCTTCTAGAAGAATCAAAAAGACGTGCAAGATGCATGGTATCA